CAGGCACCTTGTGTAATGTTTAGGTGCTTGTGTTCTATGATGACTCATAATCTTATTGCGTATATTGCATAAGGACTAACCTAATTTAGTAAGAAGATGAAAGAAAGACTGTGGGTGGTTGATGATGAGTCTAGAGCAACTTTTCTCGGTCTAACTGAAGCATGGGAATATGAGTAAAAACATATCTGCCTATGACTGATTTTAAAAAGCCTACTTTTGATTTATATGATTTGAGTTTATCAATCTTTTATTGTAAGATTTATGTTTTCCCATGGACTCTTGTTCTATCATTGTTGTTATTCCATCATTTAAAGGGCATATGAGAAGACAGAATTGTGAAATATTTATAAGAAGTCGAACTGAGTTGTCTGATGCAAGTGCTCTATATTATTTTGGTTCTTTGCCTTTAATTGTATAGGAAATTGTGTTGCTTGTGTCTTGGGAGTCCGTTGTGCATTTCAAAGTAAATTAACTTTGATTTTTTTTTTCTTGGAATTTGGAAGATCCTCTTTCAGGGCATCAAATACTGTCTGAAAAACAGAACTTTCTAACTTTGTAGTTTATTCACATGCATCTTCAAATAGTTGATTGTTTTAAGGTTAATCAAGATATATATGTATTATGTAACTGTGAAGCTGTTTCTTATTTCTTCTTACTGTACTTAAATGGATTAAATTATCACTTTCTTTTTTGTGGCTTTATATTTCACGTTATTTACTACAATGACTACATTGCAGGCCTTTCGTTGAAGTCCCAGGACTTAACAGCTTTGTTTTTAGCTGTCAGAATGTATTGCAGCTTTGTTATGGAATATGATATACACACTGTGCTAGATACTGCCACACTTGCTACTACCCTTTGGGTCATTTACATGATTAGATTTAAACTGAAGTCAAGTTACATGGAGGATAAGGACAACTTTGCCATATATTATGTGGTAAGATATCTCTTTTATGTCCAATAAGTACTCTAAATTAAAGCTATAATTTTATTTTACTTGGATAGTTTGTATATGATTGATGAATTTGTTCTTCAATTGCTTTTTCTTCAATTTCAATTGGTTTGTATAAGAAAACATGCTTATAAGCACTATAATATTTTCTTCGGGTAAATATGAACACTATTATATGGTGTTATAATTTCATACCTTCTACTGAGTGCATTCTTTCTTTGATGAAATAAGGACATTTCTGAGAGAATATAGAGGATAAAGAAGTAATGAGAAGGGCTAGAAAAGAACAATGGAGAGAGAAATTTGATAAGCTAAATTTTGATGCCTAGAGACCCTACAAAACCTTTATTTATAACTTTTGACCTTTGCTCTTTCTTATGTTTATGCAATATGAGACTAAACTAGAGCTTACATGCACACAAGAAAATTCAGTCTCATATCTTCTCAAAGAGGATCTTAGTACTCTCAGAAATTGACTCTTTAACTATAAAAATATCTAGCCATACCTATACTAAAACATATTAGGAATTTTAAAGACATAAAACACTCCTAATAGGACTCCTCTTTAGTCCAAGTGGAACTAGTACTTCTCTTCAGCACTCAGTTTGGTCTTGACTTGGGTTCAATCTCCGTAGGTTTGATTTGGATGTGATTTAACATGGGCTACTTTAGTATGGTGACATTAGTAGACTCACCCACGTGTTGAGTGGTCAAATTAAAGATCTAGGCTAGCCTATTTAGGTTGCTAGGAACTGTCTTCTGTAGAGCCTTTTGATTAATGGAGTCACTTATTAGTAGAATGTTAAATCATGACATGTGATCAAAATTCAGAAGATTCATCTTAAGCGAAAATTATACATTTGGCTTTTCTTCCTAACATCTTTTAAGCTAAATGCTATGTAAAAAGGTTGGGTTTAAAATACCATGGTTCGCCTTACCTGTCCGTACTGGTGTACTGACGTATGGTTTTGATTTATAAGATTATAACTTGATTGAGTTCTGCTTCCATTATGTGATTATAGGTGGTGCCTTGTGCTTTGTTAGCCCTTGCAGTTCATCCTTCAACCTCACATAATATCTTCAATAGGATTTGTTGGGCCTTTTGTGTTTATTTGGAAGCTGTTTCAGTGTTGCCACAGCTACGTTTGATGCAAAACACAAAGGTACAACTTGAGATCTGAGAACCTTGTACATCTTTGAATCGATATATTCTTACTGTATCAGAAAACATGCTTTGCAGATTGTAGAACCATTCACAGCTCACTATGTTTTTGCTCTTGGGGTTGCAAGATTTCTGAGTTGTGCTCACTGGGTCCTTCAGGTTTGGTTTGTTGTGAAACTTGTTTTACAGTAATGTTATTCATACTTAAATTCTGACAGGCTTCATGTGATTCATGTTACTAATTATCACCCATGTATGTTCAACAGTAATTTTCTTAAACATAATCATGATCATAGGATGATAATATACTATTTGTTTAGCATTATAGAGGTAAAAAAAAATGAAGGGAAGGAACTCCTAGCTTGCAAGACTATTTATTTATTGGGAAACATGGATTCATACACTAATAAATTGTCTCTTTTGTTGTCCTCTTATTATGTTGCTTAAATTCATAAGATAGTAAAGTCTTGTTGCTCTTTGAGACCTTAGTGCCATATTGTGGTTACAAGGTTTGCCTTCATACAACATTCTACCATGTGTATCTGGTTATGAAAGAAGGTAACCAGAAGTCTAGGGACCTTGTTGAACATCTCAGTCTTGATAAAATGGGTTGTCAAGGCAACTTGGATGGAGGTTGTGCTCGGAATTTGTAAGTGGTTGGAGGTGAGACATGGTTTTCGTGGTTTTTGGATGTGTCAATCTGGTGGTAGATGTAGCTGAAAATAGAAAGAACAAGCAAGAGGATCATTGGTTCTCCCCATCGTCTCTTCTCCCTCTTGTTTACTAGTGTTGCCTCAGCAACAAATTGTCATACTCGACTAGGCAAAACATTGTGTGAACATCACATTTCTTTTATTTATTATTTTTGTTATATAATTTTTCCCTACTTGTAACTGAATCAGATCAAATAATCATATAATGAAATAGTAAGAACACTTTTGTTATTATTGTGTTATTCTCTCTGTGTAACCCTAGTCTTTTTTCCATAAAACTATCAGTATTTACACTTTCAGCTAAAGGGAAATATTTAATAAATGAAAATCCATACAGCATCATGCTCAGACAGTTTACTTTGGTCAAGTTTGATGTGCTGGTCCTGTTTCTAATTATACTATCAGTATTTAGACTTTCAGCTAAAGGGCAATATTAATTAATAAAAATCTATACAACATTTTGTTCATACAGTTAACTTTAGTCAAGTTTGATATGCTGTTCTGTTTCTCATGAAATCGTGATTACGATGATCCATGTGCCATTTGTGCCTTGTTTCTCATGCAGCTAAGTTGGTATGAGTTAAATATGGGCCTTTTTTTCCATATATATGTCCTAAAATGCCTAGATCTATGTGTATATTGTTTGAGTTATCTGCTATTTTCAGGTTTATAGTTAATGTAGTCTGAAATAAGTTTCATTAGTGTTGCCTTCGATTTGCTTAGACAATTTTCACTTGGAATCTCTCTCCTAAAATTCAAAGGGTTTTGATGAAAAAAAGGAAGAACATAAATGTTCTTTAAGCAACTGGGAAAAAAACTTAAGTTTGTGAAATAAACAACAAGAACATAAATAACTATTTTGGAGGGATTTATGTAGATGTAAACATCTCAAAGATGAATTATCTGGAGACCCTTGCATATGTTACCATGTAGATTTGCTTCGTTATTTAAAATCTAGTATGAGATGAAAGGGATAGGCCGTTTGATGAGTCAGGCAAAAGAAGTCTTTGACAATTAGTTCCATTAAAAAAAAAAGAAAAAAAAAAGCTAGCTTCTTTGCCAGTTGTACTCTAACAGTTAACATGTCTTAAAGCAAACAAATGATTCATTTACAGGTCCTAGATACTCAAGGACGCTTGTTGACAGCTTTGGGCTATGGTTTGTGGCCATCAATGGTTCTCCTTGCTGAAATTGTGCAAACTTTCATCCTAGCTGATTTTTGTTACTATTATGTGAAGAGGTAATACAGCTTTTCTCGTTGTAGATTTTTGTATGCGATTTAATTTTCAGTCTCTAATTCTGCTTTTGCATCATCTTATATTTCTCTTGCAGTCTTGTTGGTGGTCAACTTGTGCTACGGCTTCCTTCTGGCGTAGTGTGACCCTCTGCACATATCAGTTTGAATTAACACACGACGAATCTATCGTCTTCTCAATACTTCAATGCCTCTTCTCTCATGAGAGGCCTGCTTTGTGGCATCCTAAGTTATGAAGTAGTCATTTTCATGCGTAGCAAGATTTTCTTTCTTTAAAGTGGTTAGAGATGGATTGTTAATGTGAGCGCCTATGGGATACATAATGGTGGATCTTGGGTTGGACTTTCCTTTTTTAAACATCCGATTGTTAGATTGTTAGTTAGCTTTTTCCTGTTGTACTATGCCGTTGGTCTGAAAAGAAACATTGCGAAGCATTGCGCACATTACTGTTTCTTGATAGGACTTGATGTTTTGAATATAATTATCAAACCAATGTGCCTCTACAGCCCTTTTATATAAATAGCTTATTCGGTTTCCGTTCAATAATATAGTTTATGAGCACTGATCAATGCTCCGTTTCGTCCCCGTAACCATGACGAGGGACATGACGACACGATCCTCTTCTGCTTCGCTGGCCCTCCTTCCGTTGTCGCCACCAAATGGTCGTCAACCCTCAACAACGCCACCCCGTCAACGTTATCCATTCGTACGTTGTCCATCCCTCGCAGGTCCACCCGCTTCACCGTTTCTTCCCCACGTCCCCTGACTTCCACACCTTGGCTGTAGCCGTGTCAGCCTTCGAATTGCCGACAGCCGTACCCAATCCCACGCTGTAGCTGACTCAGCTCGCCGTAAACGCGGATAAGCTCTCCACTTCAATTCGGATTCCCATGGTTTTCAACACCTCTATATATCAATTCGTTCGGAAGTTTTCGATTGACATCCCACTTAACCTCACCTCGAACAACTTATTCTCGCCTTGTGTGCCCATGATATCGTCGTCCACCCTCGCTTTCCCCACGCTTCGCATCCGGAGCCCCTCCCTCCCGTCTTCGTCGTCGTCGTCCTCATCTTCCCGTCCTAGCCGTCGCCTACTCTGGCCCCGCTGCGCAACGACTGCGGTGCCACCGCCGGCAGCTGCAGCGACGCTCTACGACGTCCTCGGGATCCCTGCCAGCGCCACGGTCGAGGAGATCAAGGCGGCGTACCGGCGGCTTGCGCGGGTGTGCCATCCAGACGTGGCCGCGGCTAGCAGGGCCGCGCCCGCGGACGAGTTCATTCGGGTCCATGCCGCCTACGCCACGCTCACCGACCCGGAGAAGCGCGCAGAGTACGACCGCAGGGTAATGGCAGCGGCCGCGCCGTCGATGGCGTCCGCGACCGTGGGGCGGCGGCCCGCGGGGCCGTTCTACTCCTCAAGTCCACGTCGGATGTGGGAGACAGACCAGTGCTGGTAGCTTGGCAGAAGCGGATTGGATAGAATAAGTACGAGATATCCGATCTCCATAGTGGGATAATATGATTTATGCTGATTTTTTTTCCTCTTTGAAAAATGTAAATATTTAGAATTTTTAATATATATTAGATACGATACGTATCTTAAATCTAGTCTTAACTCTTACGACTGGATGATATCTTGTCGATTTCCATTCATGTTGCGACAAGAATCTCGGGAAAGCAACGGCAGACTCTAACAGGGATTCCGCGCCCAACGTAGAATCTCTTTCACATTAAAAACTTGAAGAAAATTGACCGCAATTCACAAGCAGATCTGCTTAATTTCTTCTTGAAGAACTGCGGCAACGGGATTATGATGCCGTAGAGAGAGAGAGAGAGAGAGAGTAAAAAGTATCTAGATCATTTTGGCTGATGTTTTGATTAAAAAAGAAAAATAGTATCATTAATATGTGAGACTAAAAAGAATAAAAATATGATCCTTAATATAGAAAATGAAAAAATGTCCCTAGAATCTAAGGGATGAGAAAGTTGATGGCAGGAAGCTTCAGACACACTTATATCAACTAGAGTTTCTTAATTGTATCATTTTAAGATACTAATGCTAAGTAGAATTTTCATATCTCTATTCTAATGGTCAAGATAATTGAATCTAAATGACATGTCTAACCTTAGATTTAGATGGACTTTTGAAATATAATTGATCTCAAAGGGATATTATTGTAAGTTCACCCACAAAAAAGCACAAATTTTGGGTACATTTCATTTTTTATGCCTCTCGAGCTCACGAAGAACAAGGAGAGCTACCAACGGAGACTTGGCGCAGTGGTGGCGGCGGCAAGTGAGGGATCGAGGAAATAACTGGAAGCAACGAGGGTTACAGAGACGGCAGGTGGATCCGCGCACACTATTCGAGGCCGTGCAAGATGAAGCGGAGGGTCCTCGTCGCGCTCCTCGCCCTCGCCGTCGTTCTTCTCGTCTTCTCCGTCGTTCACAAGGAGGTCTAAGCCGTTCCTCCGTCTCTTTCGGCTCCACTGCCCTCCTTGCCTTTTATTCCCCTTTAGGATCTTGAATTATATGTTTTCTCTGCTAATTTTTGTTTTCGATTTCACTTGAACTTGATGCCTGGACATGCGCTCTGTCATAATTCTTGATCTTGGTGGTGAATTTGACCAATGATTTGGGTTATCGTGAAGATTGCTGCTTAATTTCTAATATTCTTTGTGAATCTTATCAGAAAAAAGGAAAATTGCTATGAGATTATAACTGGAAGCCAGACGTCTAACGCGACCTAATATCCTTTTGGCATCACCTGACAGTAGTCTTTTCACTTCAGTAATTCCTTTTATTTGATCTAATTTACACGGTGCTGTTTTCAAACACTGCTTAAAAGTTGGTGAGATCACTAGCACATTTCAGTTTTAGCGGATTGACATAAAACAGACATGACACTGTTCTGTGGTTATTTAAAACGTTTGTTTGAACTTGACAATTGAACAAATTATCCTTCTTCACTTTCTTGTCCCTTTGATTTAAGCAATTTCCACTGGCTTATGCGGATGGACCTTCTGTATGTTCTCATGCTTTTCTTCTTTGTCGACATTTTTGGGTTTGTTAGTCTATGGTGACAAGAATAATATATGTAATGACAAGTGCAACATAGAGAGATGAAAATGTAGTGGATTAGTTGAAGGCCTTATGTCTAGAATATTTATAATTCTAATTAGACATGGTCATATTGGGATCTGTCATGGAATATTTGACCATGTCCACCATTGATAGATCAAACTGAAAGTGGAAACATGGAAAATTTTGATAGAATGCCAATCATGTGGCCAACTTTGCCTTGACCTTTGCATTGCATATCAAGTTGGATTTCCAACCTAAATTGGCGTGATCATTGTAAGACTTTACAACAACAGACTTGAAATTCAGTATATTGGTTATAAGGAGTGTGAGAGGTTGCATATCGAGTTGGATTTCCAACCTAAATTGGCATGATCATTGTAAGACTTTACAACAACAGACTTGAAATTCAGTATATTGGTTATAAGGAGCGTGAGAGGCATTCCGTATAGTTGACTATATAATAATTGTTACTATTATTGTAGAAAATAGTATCAAATGTAGTACTGCTATTATATTCTTTGCTCTGGAATGAACCATCCATCTTTTAACTTTTTGACTTGGTGCATGGAATAATAATGTCAACTCTTCTGGTTCAAACCTATTGTCCGATTGTATTAGTCAAATATCGGTGCTGGTAGCCTTGTAGCCTGGGAAAAGGTTCATTAGCATCAAATATAGTGTTGTCATTAGATGATAATTCTGCTGTGCTGAAAGAATTAAAGCTCACTTGTTTTAAGTCTGTGTAATTCTATGCCAAAATCTAAGTTATGCATCTTGATTTCATGTCTTAGGTATGGTAAAACTTTTTGAGAAAGACCTTTGCTTTTGTCCTTTTGTTAAAATATACATTAAATGTTTTAAATGGCTTAGTACTAGTGTCAATTGATATGATTGCCTGAGTTACTATTATTTTCATGGATTTGTGGTGAATATTATGGTGCTGCATGTGATGCAAGCATCAGGTTCATTTAAGCACCCAATAGTGTCAACTAAATGTTCCATGTAGTTATCAATATTTTCAGAAATATGATGCAGGATATAAGAACTTGGGTTATGTTTGATAAGTAGACAGTATTTCTCATCTTTTTTGTGATTTTGAAGTTTATAAATCACAGTTTACTTTATCCTCTAAACAGACCTATATAAGTATAAATTACTGAAATTATATTATGGCATTCTAATTAGTTTTTTTGCATTCTATTAAAATGGTGGTTCTTATTAATGAACTTTAAGTTTTTGACTAATTAGTTTATTTGAGTTCTGTTTTGGTGCTAATAGAACTTCTGAAGAGAGTTCTTATTGTAAGTAAAATAAAGCTGCTACGACCTGAAAATTTTGTGATTCTATTGTGTAAGGCTTTGTGAAATCTTCCTTCTAATTGAACAATAAATTCATTTGCATCTTAGCGTGAATCTTTTAGGATTTTTTATGTACTGGATGTCAAACTGTCACATCCCATATTTATAAAAAATAAACTATCATTTCATAGTTCATAATTTACAATTCTTTTTTTCCTTTGAATTAAAATCTTTAATTTTACAACACTAAATATTTTTTAATTAAAAAAAAAACTATATTTTCTTAGTAGGGGCACAAGTGATGAAAAAGTATCTTCATTTAAGTTTCAGATCTATTACAAAGTAGTAGGGTATTTTGAAAATAAATATAGGATAAAAACACATCAACAATCACACGTAGTAAAAACTTTTGAAAAATCATAAAAATAATCTTCAATAGTCGTGAAACATATACAAATATTAATAATTTAATATGAAAGGATAACATATCAGTTTATTATGAAACTCATGTGTCAGAAAAACAATGATAATTCTTATGCAGTAAACAAAATCATGTATCGGTCATATGCAACACATCTCGATGACATACATAACAGTTATATAACAAAGGCGTACATCACAGCCAATAGTGCACTCTCCCGATAGCGGATGGAGAGGTATACTCTACTGGATAGATTCCTCTCAACAACAGATAGAGAGAACTTATCTCGCACTCCCAACGATGGATGAAGTGGTATCTTTCATCTACCCAACCGAGGACACATTTATCCCAACAGTGGATGGAGGAATCGTCTAACTATCATGTTTGACGACCTGGTAGTCCCCTTAGGAAATCACCTTATCTACCCTCAGTAGAGATACATAGTCAACTATGATTATTCATTTACATTTATCTATTCATTCATGCATGCATTCAAGAAGTAGTTTGATAAAATATTCTGAGGGACCATGCTTGATGTATGACTTACTAAACTATATCCATTAGTGGCTCTGCATTGTGATGGACCCATAGCTCCCTTCACATGTTGTACTTTCAACGTGGACCACACAGCATAATCACATATACTACGTGGTAACAATCACATTAATATCATCAATTTAATCTAAAAATAGGAGAAAATCAATAATCATTTTCATGATTCTAAAATTTAAAACTAATTAAATAATAAAAATATATATATAAGTTCTTGAAACATAAATATGTCTAATTAAATGAATTAGAACTATTATTAAATTAAATAATCATTCTAACATACAATTTAATGATCATTATTTATTAATAATATTTTAAAATTAAAATATTATTATTATTTAATTTTGAGGGAACTCCCTTTTTATTGGAGAATATGAGCTCTCCCCTAAAGGTAAAAATAATTTATTTTTATTTTACTTTCACACACAAAGATAGAATTGTAATATTTATTTCTTATGTTCACACACAATAATGAAATTTGAACTATTTACTTTCTAAAAATCACATCTCTCATTAGAAAATAAATAAATTAATAATTTAATTGATTGACAACATTTTTAACTTGTCCATATAATTAAAAAAATCAATTTTAATCATTTCTTTAACCATACTACATAAACAAGGAAGTTAATAATTTAAATATAGCAACACATTATTAATGGTAATTAATTATGTTAAGGGAGAAATAATCATCGATGATTACTGATGAGGGTAATAATGGCGACAAGACTCGGGCTGACGTCAGCTGCCCCAGATGACGCCTCACGCCTCGATCGACCCGACAGCACCTGGTCAAACGGACCAGAACGCCGGCCGAGGCGCATTAACAACCTGCTCAGGCTCGGTCCTTCACGCCACGCCAACACCAGTGTCAGACACTACCAAGAGTACGAGCCTGTCCCCTGCAAGCGGGCACATCAGGAAACAGTAAGCTTCCCTATAAATACCCTCGCATTCTGAACGGGAAGGGGGAGGCACACAAGGAGAACTTAGCTGAACAAACCCCCTTTACCATCCACTGACTTGATCGTCGGAGGGGTCGGGCCGAGCACCCCGACCCGACCTTTATGCAGGTGCGAAGACGGAGGCCTCCTGCTAGATGCCCAGGCAAGGAGCCCCCTCTCGGAGGAAACGGTGACCCCGTCCCGATCGGACCACCGCGGTCGGCCACCTCAGCGGTCTCCAGGGTCGTCCCGGGAAGATCCCCCATCATCCGGACCCGAACCAAGCCGCGTCGGCCCCGAGGCCACGGCTTAAGGTTGTTTACACCAACAATTACACATATAGTATTAAAATTAGAGACTGGATTTGAGATAACCAATTTATTTAGCTGAAGGTGGGGTAAACCTATGGTGAATGATGATTCCTTTTTTTGCTTAGTTTTATGAAGTAGTTTGTATTGAAGTAACTAAGTTTTGTTTTTTTTTTTTTTTTTTGTGATAGAACATATCATGTTCTTTTTAGACATCATGAAAATATCAACGATGCCATGTGCAAGGACTTCCTCAATTTTGGTTGTTAAAATTATGTGACATTTTTGCTGCCTACTCCAATGATACACAATCATAGTTAACTTTTTTGAATTTATAAATTCCAGCTGAAGATCAAAATAGTATCATTATGTTCAGAACTCATTGTGATCTTATGCAGGTAGGATTGTTATTGGACTCTATGGAGAAGTGGCGCCAAAAACTGTTGGTATGTTTAACTCCTAGTTTGTCATAATTCTTGGGCTTTTCACTTTAGACACAGCTGCCATTCTTTTGAACTTCGGAAAATTGTATATGGGACATCGGTATACTGTGGCTGATAGTTTGCTTTAAGTGATTGGTACATGAACATGTATTTGTCTGCTCCCTAGATGTTGTTTTGAGTCTTTTAGTAAGCTACATATGCAACCACTTAGCATATATGCACCAGTTGGGTGGAAACAAGTGTACAGTACAAGAATAGTGTGGAACTTTCAAGAGATGCTGTGGGAAGGTTTTCAGAACTATACCTTTCCAACTTTTTTAATATACGGATTGGTTGAAATTCCCAAATTTTGGATATACCTTTTAATGTTGATTGTTACTGGAGGTGTTATAATTATTTTTTTGAGTATGGACTATAATGTTCTTAATTACACACAAAAAGAGAACTTTGGATATGAACATGTCCTCCAGTTAGGTATTTTTACCATATCTTGTTCCCGATATGTCAGCTAACACATTTCTTTTTTTCTCGTGGATAGTGCAGAAAATTTTAAAGCCCTCTGCACAGAGGTATTTGCACTTGCATCAGTAGCTATTCCTGTGTTGTTATTTGATTTTGTTCATCTTTTATCAAACATGTACATTCTAACAATTGTATAGCACCTATGATTTGGTAGCAGGTAAAAAGGGCAACAGAATTGGTGTAAGAAATTATCACTACAAGGGTACAAAATTTCATCGCGTAGTTTCCGGTTTTATGATACAAGGTGGCGATATCACTAACAGTAATGGCAGGAGCAGTGAATCTATCATGGTGGCACCTTTCCTGATGAGAACTTCACCATAAAGCATTCACGTGCAGGCTTGGATTTCCATTTCATATGTTGTCCTAAGTTATATTTCTAAATTCTAGTGACCTGGGGCTGGCAATAAGTGAAATTTAGGTTTTCCATATACATGATTGTAATGTTCTTGAAGTTTCTATTTAATGCAAAATTAACTGGACAATACCCCTTGGATTTTCCCTTACAAAAGCTAATTGTTAATATGGGAAAGAATCAATGTAGACAACTTATTGTTAGAATACGTTCGGAAAAGAAGTTTGTTCTTGTACAAAACTTATTGATTCATTTACACAGTTAACTACAGAGATTAATTCTCTAATGGTACTGTTCGGCACATGCAAGACATCTTACTAGCTTGTTTTGCCCTTCCAGGAATTGTTTCAATGGTGAACAGGGGGCCTGATACCAATGGATCCCCGTTCTTCATCACCACAGTTAAGGCTAGCTGGTAAGGACCACTTCAGTTTCACATCATGTAATAATAGTGCCAATATTGAGTGGTTTAAGTTCAAATATCTAAAGTTTCATTTGTGCTAGATGGGGAGCATGTTGCCTTTGGAAGGGTTATTCAAGGTACGGATACGTTCTTTGCAACTGATGGAGGAGCAGGAACATACATACAATGTGAAGCCGAGGAAGAAGGTTGTCATCGTCGACACAGGAGAGATACCAAAGCACCGATGGGATGAAGAAATCAGCCGCTTTTGCTTCCTTGCCACCCCATGCTGTTGCTGCAAGAGTAGTAGGAGTTAGTGGTTCTTGAGGGCTAAGGCTACACCACCACATTGCTCGTGTAAACCTTGTTAATGTGCCTTTGAAGTCATCACTTACCCAAACGGGGTCTTAACCCTTTCGCTTCACTTGGTTGCCTATAGAAATTTGAGCTTCACAAAAACTTGAGCTTTCTCTGATTGATTGAACCAGAGATTTACTGTTCTTAATACAAAGCAGATCGATTGCACGTTTATCACAACATCAAATTCATAATCATATCAACTAAGCACATGCTTTCCAATGATAGAGAATCATTGACAGCAGTAATAGAAAATCATTGGAAGCAGCATATCAGATAAGAAATGATGGATTTATTTTTAACATATCATTAATATATATTTTAAGGACTGCTCAACTAAAATTTTAAAGATAAAGACAATCAAGATATAAGAATTTTTCATAGAGCCAAACAAGACATCTCCTGTAGTAACTCATAGAGTCACCATCCTATGATATACTACCAAGGACAACTTTAACCCAAACAATTCAAGACAACTATCATGAGTCATGATATCCTAACAACAATAATTTACAAAGAATTATATGTCAACTGTCTAATAAAATTAGACTTATAATAAAATTATATTAATCTCGACAAAAGCTCAACATCACACCCAACTAGTATCAAGCAAAGATCACGAACAATCCGACTACTCATCATGGCAATTGGATCATCGCACTTCACATCATATTATCTTTAACTTACAAAATTTATTCATCCATGCTAACTATGACGGTAATAAAGATATCATCAATGGAGATAACAATAAAATTCTTCACTCACACTAATTTACACGTGGTTGCTTTTAAACTTGATGATATTTTATATGCACCCCACAGAAAAAAAGATTCTTATATTTATCTCTCAAATTTCTAAACAAAATAATACTTTTATTAGGTTCATTCCTAACTTGTTTCTTGTGATATGCATAGGGGTATCCTTCGTCAGAATAAAAATAATATCTACAGGTGGAAAAACAATATCTACAAGTGGTTATCATTAACAACTTCATAAATTGTCTAACCAATTACCATTGTTTCAATTTCTACCCCAATTGATGTATAGCATCATCGGTTTGGCCATCCATTATCCTCCATTTAATGTATTAACATCTCGTTACATTCTATAAAAGGTGCTCATTGTGACTCATATCGTAGTAATAAAAGTCACAAATTACCTTCTGAAATATCTTCTATATCTTACTTCGAACCACTTTAGGTTATTTACACTAATATCTAGGATCCTACCTTAATAATTTCCTTTGACAACTTTAAATTTATGTTATTTTTATGGATTATTTCATCAAATGTATATAATTATACTATCTCAAACATAAATATAAACATAAATATGAAGTTACTTTAATCTTCACTCATTTTCAATAGGTGGTCCAAAACTTCGATAAGTCTAACATTAAAATAGTCTACTCTGATATCAAGCTTTAATATCTTACCTTTTAATCTGCAGTATATAATATATTAAGTCATCATCAAACATGCCCCAACTCGTTGGTTTCATCGAACAAAAACACCAATACTTGGTTAAAACCAATCTCACTCTCCTTCATCAAGTCTAAATGACACTCGTCTTATGGTCAACATCTTTTCAATCTACTCTATCATGTGTGATCATGAACATATAACTTCGGTTACCATTTGAAGGATTGTCTCACAAACCTTATAGTCTTTATAGACTAAGAGTATTTGATTATTTGTGAAACATTGATTTTATCCTATACTTCACATAAGTTAGAATCGAGATCTAGGCTATCTTCATTGGGTATTCTCTTGAGTATCATGCTTTTTAATATTTTGATCCATAAATTAATAAGATCTTTATATCACATCATGTCATATTCATTGAATCTAATTTTTCCTTCTAAAATCTTACTCCTTCCATGGTGAGAGCCACCATTGCCATCCATCACTAGGTTCAAAGGGGAATAAACCAAACTCTCTCGAGACAATATCTTGTCAATTCTATGTCCCATAACTCAATTATTAGCACTCCTCGAAATCCCTACTCTATTATTGTTCTGATTTCACATTGTCACACGGCTTCACTCGATCATTATGCATCACCAATAGTTGTAGTTACACCCTCAATATAATAAGATATGCTATTTGTCTTCTTCTTAATTAAGTAACACCATCATGTGTCAGCTTGATTATGTATCACTAACTTATCACCAACTCTCATGCCACAAACATAACCTAGTCATGAACATCACATAAAAATATGCTTTAAAAATAATAATATTAAATCATAATAGATTTTTGATCTCTACACTTCCATAAACACTCTACTTGAGCCTACCAAACCCACAAAAATCACTCTAAGTTTAAAAATCCTCCTATTGACGTTAGGTCATGTATAAAGAACATGATGTCTTACTTGCATGAAACTTTGTGTCATTTAATCCATACAAAATATTTATAGAAGTAAGTAGATCTTTCATATAAAGTAAAACATAGATGAATCTATTACCAGATACAAAGCACATTTGGTAAATAAAAGATTTCACCAATGATCGAATATTGAATTTACAAAAACCATAAATTATGTCATCAAACCAACAATAATTTGATTTATCCTATGTTTAGTTATCACTAAAGGTTGACACTTATGATGGTTAAATGTTAACAATATTTTCTTGTAAAGAATCTTGACTGATGATGTTTTTATACAACAACATTTGGGTTTATTCATCCTCAATGTCGCAATCATATATACAAACTCTTAAAAACTATATATATAGACTTAATCAAGCTGCAAGAGCTTGATATAATGAACTTGGTACATTCTTAATGTCTATCAGCTTTGCCAATTTTAAATCAAATAGCTGATGACAAGAGAGACATCATATACTTATTGGTTTATATGGATTAACTCATCATGACAGATGTTAGTGTAAACAACTTTTTAGCCGTGACCTCGGGGCCGATGCGGCTTGGTTCGGATCCGGATGACGGGTCGCCGATTCCTTCGGGAGGAGGTTCCTGGCCAACGCGCCCGAAGAGAAACGCCTCACCTTCGTCCCTACACACAGGTCGGGACGGGAGAACTCGACCCGACCCCTCCGACGATCAAGTCAGTAAATAATCATGGTGATGTTATTTTTTCTTCTCCCCCCCCCTTTTCGTTAAGAATGCAAGGGTATTTATAGGGGAGTTCGGTGTTACCTGATGTGCCTGCCCGCAGGGGGTAGGATCGTACCTTCTGATGACGTCTGACATTGCTATCAGCGTAGCGTGTGGAATCGAACCTGAGCGGTCGTTAATGGGCCTCGATTGGCGTTCCAACCCGTGTCAGTCACGTGGTGTCGGACTAACAAGGGAGTGGGACGTCAGCGGGTATCACACAAGTCTTATCGTAATTATTACCCTCATCATTCTCCCCCCCCCCCCCCCCCCCCCAAAGGAAGCTATGTGTCAGTTGCCGTAATGGGGGGGTCTGAGGCATGGCTTTAGCTTTAAAGAGCTTTCTTCGTCGGCCAAAGGTCGGTACACTGCCCTGTGCGTAAACTCGTAGTGCTTGGCGATCGAGGAAGGTCGGGTGAGCCGTCACGGCGCTGGGTAGTGAATGGCCAAGGAACCTCGAAGAGCGACTCACAGATCGGATTGGGCTCGGTCGTTGGGGCGGTAGCCCCCTCGGGCTAGTAGGTTGTGTGGGCGCGGTTTCGGACGTCATGAGGCCGAAGAGCACGATGCAGATGGCCGCTGCCGAGGAGCTAAACTCGGCGAACAGACCGCGCGGGCATGGTTTCGGACGTCGCGAGGCCGAAGAGCACGACACAAGCGGCTGCTGCCGAGGAGCTGGACTTGGGCGAACAGGCCGCGCAGGCGTGGTTTCGGGCATCATGAGGCCGAAGAGCACGACACAGGTGGCTGCTATTGAGGAGCTAAACTCGGGCGAACAGGCTGTGCT